ATCCACTTCCTCCTCAGCACCCCCCCCCTCGCCCGTGCCCCGGCGCAGCACCAGGTTCTTGCGGAGATCGACCTCGCCGAAACAATAGCACCATCCTGCTCGTCTTGAGGAAGCGCAAGCATGGGTCAGGGCGCGTGGAATACTGCAGCGGCGGGAAGGCGCGCTTACGCTCCGTGGCCAAATTATTCAGTGGACAACAAGGGCGGATAAGGACAGACGCGACCAGCCGGCAGCTCGACATCTCAAGGAGGACCAAGCAGGGGGACCCGTTGAGCACGCCATTCTTCAACGCGCTGCTTGAGGACACCTTCTGGGGACTCAGAGAGAAGTGGCTCAACAGGAACAACGGGCTGCAATTAGGACAGAGAACCGAGACGATTGAAAAGCACGAGGCTCGCGGATGACGTCTTCCTCGTCGGGCAAAGTTGGCAGCAGATTGTTCGAATGGTTGCAGGCGCGCGGTGCTCGGCTCGGGGCTTCTGCTGCATCCGGACAAGACGAAGATCTGCACCAATGCTTGCAAGGAAACAGGAGAGGTAAGAGAACGCGCGCTACAGTTGATGATATGCAGATCGAGATCGTTCCTATCGACGTCGCCGCGAAGTATCTTGGAGGGCAGGTCACATCTCTGAACCCAGCGGACACGGAGATCGAGCACTGAATGCGCCAGAGATGGGGAGTCTTCATGTCGAGAAAGCAAGAGTTGACCGGCATGAAATATTCGTTGAAACGCCGATTGCGCTTGTTCGAGAGTGTAGTCATCCCGACAGCTCTGCACGGCGCTTCCAGCTGGTCTCATTTGGTTGCCGCGCGACAGAAATTCAAAACAAAGCGACGACTGCTCTGGGTGATATTTGGCACCGGGAGAAGACACACCAGACATATTAATCGGTCAATGGCGCATCTTCTTCGTCAGCGCTCACGGCTGGGAACGACTCAGCAGAGGAGGCGTATTCGGAGACTCTGGAGAATTAGTTTGACTGGATAAAACGAGCTACAAGCACTGTGGATAACCATGCGGCACAAATACACATCGACAGCTGGCGCTTTGCGCGGAGGCGCAAAGTCTGGCGCCACGCGGAGGGAGTCGCCGCTATGCCCGCAGATCGACGGGCGCAGAAAGCTGCCACCCGGCGCGCGGCAGACGACCCCCGATCGCGAGGCCGTCAACAACGCCGTCCAAAGAGGAGGTGGGAAGACGAAATCGCGCAGTTCCTGAGGCATGCTGACCACGACGTGGACATCACGAACTGGATGGAAACGGCTAAAGATGCATCTTTCTGGAGCGATTTGGAGGGTGAATTCTGTTGTCAAACTGGCTGGATGCACTATTCCAGAACGCTGAGCCGGAGTCGCACGCTGGAGCCGAACCTCATCAAATGAGCGGCTGCGGCCCCAGCGCGCCGCCCTCATGGGCCGGGCCTCCGGGTCCGCCAGCCGCGCGTCCGTCCGTCCGTCCGCGGGAAGGCGCGCGAATTAGTGGCGGGGCCCGTGTCCGTGCAAATTCTGCGCGTTTCGTCCCCGGGCCCGGCGGCATCGGCTTCACGTTGCGAGGGATATTTTCCCGATCCGCGGATCCGGCGCCCACGTGCCAGATCCACGGATCCTTGATCCGCGTTAGCGGGTGCTCTGCGGAAGGCTTCGCGGGGCCATTGCTCGCGGAGTCGGTCGACCAGGCGGCGCACAGGCAGGGCAGCAGGGACTACAACGCGGAGCTCTGGGTCGGCACGGTGGACTTCGAGCATGCATTCGACGCGGTGGGGCACGACGCGCCGCGGATGGAACTACGAGAGCAAGGCGCCCCGCACGCTTACATCGACATCCTGAGGAGACTCTACGCGAAGCAGGGGGCGGCCACAGTAATGGCCAGAAGACGGAGCAGGCAGATTGAACTGGAGGCAGAGGCGAAAAAGTACGGCTTAAAGATACACATGGGGAAGATTATGATACTCACAAACGCTGTTCCGCGACTGTCCACCGTGAGATGCACGGGGCGCGACGTTCGGGTCTTACAGCAGGGGGAGTCAGATACATACTTGGGCAGGAAGTTTAATTTGGGTACTTACCAAGAGACAGAGCTCACGCATCGAATTTCTGCTGGATGGGCAGCATTCTCCCGCTTGAAGGATATCCTGTGCCAGCGACGTCTACCTCCCCGGCATGGCATGCGTTTGTTCCATGCTTGCGCCACTCCCAGCGTGTTGTATGCCGCCGGAACTTGGACTCTGACCGTGGACCAAGAGAAGAAGCTTCGCACGGCACAGCGCAACATGCTGCGCAAAATGGTTCGCATTGGACGCCAAGCAGATGAATCGTGGGTCTCTCACATCAGGCGGGCCACCCACATCAGCGAGGAGCTTGCCACCAAGTTCGGAGTGGAGGATTGGACCGCGCTCTTCAGGAAGGCGAAGAAGGCCCTGGCCGACAAGATCTCCGTCTGCGCAGACAGCCGGTGGAGTGGGGAAGCGCTCAATTGGGCGCCGTGGCATAGCGTGCCGGTTGCGAGAAAGCGAGGCGGACAGCACAAACGCTGGACCGACGCTTGACGACGACATTGTGTTGTCCACAGCCCGGCGCAAGGCTGGAGGTGCAGGGGCGCTCCTGACACCTCTATGGGCTGTCCTTCTCTCTCTCTCTCTCTCTCTTTTTTTCTCTCTCTCTCTCTCTCTCTCTCTCTCTCTTTCTTTTTCTAATCCGTGTTAGCGCGCGCCCGGTTAAGTCCTTCTCCTCATAGATACATTCTCCCTGTCGCACCCCGAGGCCAGTTTTTCGGGCGGGCCGGGCGTTTCTCTTGAGACTTCTTCACACTTGTTGATTCTGTCGCTTCAAGAGTGACAACAGCTTCACAGTTGGAGGGCGGGTGGTTTTCAAAATGCGGCTCTCGCCTTAGCGCCGCGCACATTCTTTGCAAAAATTAGCAAGAGCTTCACGGATTGAGGGCGGGTGATTTCCAGCATGTCGCTATCTCCTTAATGCCGCGCACATTCTTTGTAGAAGTTTGCAAGAGCTTCACGGATTGAGGGCGGATGGTTTTCAAAACGTGGCTCTCGTTTTAGCGCCACGCACATTATTTGTGAAAGTTTGCAAGAGCTTCACGGATTGAGGGCGGGTGGTTTTCAAAACGTGGTTCTCGTCTCGGCGCCGCGCACATTTTGTATAAGAAAACGCAAGAGCTTCACGGATTGAGGGCGGGTGGTTCTCAAAACGTGGTTCTTTCTTTAGCGTCGCGCACGTTGCGTTTTAAAGATTTGTAAGAGCTTCATGGATGGAGGGCGGGTGGTTTTCAAAACGTGGGTTTCGCCATAGCGCCACGCACATTTGTTGTAAAAACAAGAAATTCACGGATTGAGGGCGGGTGATTTTTAAAATGTCGTTGTCCCCTGATTGCCGCTCACATTTTTTAAATAAAATGTTGCAAGAATTTCACGGGTTCCCATGATCAAGGTACCAACAAATGCGTTTTGCGAGGATTCAGGATTGTGCGGGTGTAACAGTTATATTGATTCGCGGTGTTGAAATCCAAATAAATGCCGTTATGGCACGATTCCCGATCGCCAAAACGCAGCAGTCAGGTTGATACGTGGCGTTGAAATCTTGGAACCATGTTTTGGCATGCTTCCGGATTTTCAAACGGTTGTTTTCCAACGAGGCAGTTCCTTCAATGGAAATGAACCGTTGTAGGGGACTATGAAGCGGGATCTCCTCCTCCTTTTCCTCCTTTTCCGCCTCCTCCTCCTCCTCCTCCTCCTCCTCCTCCTCCTCCTCTTCCTCCTCCTCCTCCTCTTCCTCCTAATCCTGCAATCCTGCACATAGCTATGTTTTTCTATACACCCGGCAAATATTTCCTTGTGGAGACGTTTCGCGTGCGTCTGAGTCCTGAGCCTTGAGTCCTCCACTTTCTCTTCCTCCTCCTCGCCTCCTTCCTTCCTTTCCATCCTCCCCCGCCCCATGGTGAAGGTCGCGCCCGGCAGTGCCCTCCTTTGCTTTGCCTTGAGAGGAGGATGTTTGGCCCACGCCTCCGACGTCGTGATGACTCGGGGCGATCCAGAAAGGACCTCGCGTTCGGCACATCCTCGCTTTCTGGCGGAAGGCCGGCCGAAGGAAAACGGCGGCGGGACCGCCGGCAGAAGGCGGCGGGAGTGAGACGTCAATAGTATGAGATCCAGGGTTTCTGCAGCTGGCCATTTGAGTCCAGGACGTTCTGCTGACACGCATGCATATGGGAGCCGCTTTGGGGCCCCCGAGGGCACAAAGGAACAGTCCACGATGGCAAATTGGTTCTCGGCAGAGTGTCAAGAGCTCTGGGGCCTGAGCTTCCAAACGACAACATAACAGTGTATGTTGTTTGAGTTCGGTACAGAAGGGCTGGTCCCGCGCTCGAGGAGGTACGAATTGAGGGGCGGGAGGTATGAGAGGATCCTCCTTTCTTCCCTAGTCTTCTCCTCTGCCTCATCCTCCTCCGCCTCTTGCACCTCCGCCCTCCCACTCGATGCACTCCTCCTCCATCCCTCGTCCTTCCCATCCTCTCCCTCCCCCCTGCCTCCCTGAAGACTCCCTCCCGTTTCCCTCCTCTTCCTCCTTCGTTATGATCCTACCCATGGGGGGGGATGACGCGAGTGTCGCTGTCAAGGCCCAGTGGGTCTACGCGCGCGCGCAGGCTCCTCCTCTTCTCGCGCTCGTGTGGGACAGCTCTTCGGGCATCTCTGGCGAGGTCTGAGGGCCGCTCACGCAAGCACGAGCAGCGCCTCCCCGGTCTCGCTACCCTCGTCCTGGCCCTTTTCCCCCTCGTGAGGTGCTAGCCATTTGCCCGGCGCTTCTCCGATGCACGCGGCCGGGCAGCATTGTTGTGGCGATCCGTTGTCCTCGACATAGCGCGGGCATCGTCGCTTGGCGGATAGGATGACACAGATAATGATGTTCTCTCCACTCTGCTCCTCATCCTCATCCTCCTCCTCTCTCCTCCCCCCTCCTCCTCCCTCCTGAAGAAGAGCCATCCCGAGGGCATCACCGCCGCCCTCGTCTCCATGCTGTTCACCGTGGCGCCCAAGGGGCGTGCGATCAGGAGGAGGACGAGGAGGAGGTAGGAGGTAGTAGGAAGAAGGAGGCAGGAGGCGAGAGACAGGATGAGGAGGAGGTAGGAGGACGAGGGAGAGGAGGCACAGATGGAGGCAGGAGGAGGAGGCAAGTCAGGAGGCAGAAGCGAGGAAGAGGAAGAAGACGACGACGACGACGACGACGACGACGACGACTACGAGGACGAGTAGGACGAGGAGGAGGAGGAGGAGGAGGAGGAGGCGGAGGAGGAGGGGGAAGCAAGGTTGCCAAATTACGCCATTCCGCCGCCCCCGTCCCCGTGCTGCTCACTGTGGCCCGCGGCGCACCCAGCCAGGAATCTATCTGCGAGCGACTGGCGGGGAATATTCCGCGCCGCGGGCGGCGTTCGGCGGCGCCTCGTGCACGGGCGGATTCGCCGCCGCCCTTCCGCGCAAGGAGAAGGGGAGGGGAGAGGCGGAGGGGAGGGGAAGGCGGAGGGGAGGGGAGGGGAGAAAGAGAGGTGAAGGAGGAGGGCGGAGGGGGAAAAGGGAGGGGGCGGAGAGAGAGGGCAGGGGAGGGAGAGGAGAAGGAAGGAAGGAGGAGGAGGAGGAGGAGGAGGAGCAGCAGCAGCAGCAGCAGACGAGGGCGCCAGTCGTGTCGACCGATCCCCCGCAGCAACGAGCATGGAGCATCAAGGAGGTGCAGGAGTCTGTCCCCACCATACTCCTCCCTCCTCCTTCTCCTCCCCTCACTGCTCCTCCGCCGCCTCTCTCCTCCTTGCCCTCCTCGGTCCTCCTCCCTCCCTCCTCGTCCTCGCCATCCTACCACCACCACTCCCAGTACGACTAATTACATGCATACCCCCATACACATTGCTACATCGAATGGCCTTCGGCCCATCTCGCCACCCTGCCTGGGTTGTCGGTATGAAGCCTACAGGATATTCGTTGGGATGTCGTGGGAGGCCTCTCAGGGGCCTCTTGGGGCCAGTTTGGAGGCCTCTTGAGGATCGTTTTGGGGCCGCTTGGGGCCTCTTTTGGACCTCTCGGGGGCCTCTAGGGGTCTCTTGGGGCCTCCTGAGCGCATCTTGGGGCATCATGGGGGCCTCTTGGAGCGAATGGCTCGGATTTTCGACTCGTGTTCCCTCTCTTGGGCCACTTTGGGGGCCGTCTTGGGGCCCTCTTAGGCTGTATTGGGCGCCTCTTGGGCGATCTTGGGGCGCTCTTGGGCCCCTCGTGGGGGCCTCTTGGGCCGTTTTGGAGTGGTCTGGGGGGCCTCGTCGGCCGTTTTGGGGCGTCGGAAAGCCGAAAAGGCGAGAACGCCAAAATCCGTCCAAAACCAAAGGAACATGTATGATGTTTACCTCTTGAGGCCCTCTTGGGAGGCCTCTTAGGGCGTCTTAGAGGCATATTGGGCCATCTTGGGGTCATCTTGGGCGTCTTGGGCCGATCCTTGGACGTCTCGGGGCCCTCTTGGGCCGTCTTGGAAGTATTTGGGCACCCTCTTGGCCCGGGTCAGGGCCCCCTTGGGCCCGAGAAATGCACGCGCCACCACTCGGCAAAGCCCAGGGGGCACGCGGGAAGCCTCAGCAGGCACCCAGCAGGCCCCGCCGAATTTCAGAATTTGGGGTCCAGACCCCTTAAAGACTCCTCCGGAGTGAGGGTTCGGGCTTAGAGGATTGGGCCCTGACCTGAGGACGCGCCCACTCGGTGCCCAGCGGCACGGTGGCGGATACCTCATACTACCACTAGTACAGCCAGTTTCCGATTCAGCTTCAAATTTGTACGCGGGGCGCTCGCGAGTGCCTTAGCCGCGCGAGAACGCCATGTGCCCTCTTGCCGAGCGTGGGTCCTCTCACCCGCGGCCCGACTGGCAAGTCTCCCGGCGTGTCCGACTGCGCGGCTGCGGGTACCCAGGCCGCGGCCACACTTGACGCGTGGAGACGCTGCGCGCCCGTGCGGCGAGGCCGGGAGTGGCCATGGCGACCCAGACTCCCCCTCCTCCTCCTCCTCCTCCTCCTCCTCCTCCTCCTCCTCCTCCTCCTCCTCCTCCTCCTCCTCCTCCTCCTCCTCCTCCTCCTCCTCCTCCTCCTCCTCCCGCACGCGCGCCCCGCGCTCTGGCCAGGAGTGGCCACGGCGATCCAAAACTCCCGCGCACATTGCTCAAGCACGCAGCACGCACATGGGCCCCGCGTTCGGGCGCCCCCGTCGACGTTCCGAAAGAGAGAGAGAGAGAGAGCTTGCTCCGTGGTGCGAGGCACGGCGCCGCGCGGACGCAGCGCGGCCGCATGGCTGCAAGTGCGCTGGCATGAGGAAGTGTTGCACGTCCCGCGCGGCCGAAAGCGCGCTCCAGCGCGCCCCGCGACCCGCCCCGCGACCCGTTCAGGACAACCAGGGGCCGAAAATGGGCCCACGCGAGACCAGAAAAAAGCACGCCGCGGTGAGCTCCTTTCCGGGTCTGTCGGACAGGACCCGTCCGCCACTTGTTTGTACAAGACTTGCGCAACTTGGTCACTTGCAGGCCGGCCGGTAAAACTTTCGGGTCGCTGTGGACGCAAACCGAGCAGTTCCGTCGGAGGAAGACCGAGGCAGTTTGCCCATTTCTGGCTCCGGGATCCGACTCCAGCCCGGGACGTACCGAGCCCTTGCGGCCAGACGGGCCGAGGCGCCGACCTTGCCCCAGCCTCCACCGCCCCCTCCGCTCGCGCCCCCCGCACCGCCTCTGTCGGCCGTCTTCGAGCTCGCGCCGGCCCGGATTGCCGCGAGGTGCACCGTGGTAAGATTGCGCGCAAGCTTTCGGACCGGCGCAGTGGCACGCTTGACGACGGCTCCCCTCGGGACAAAGAACATCTACTCTGGCCGCTCGTGGCGGCGCCCTTCCTGCGTCTTGCTTCGTAGACGCTGCCCAAGCAGAGGGTGCAATTTACCGACCGCGCGCGCCGCGCGTGCGGAAGCCACTCCGCGGCGGGCGCGCAGGCAGAGCACATCCTGCCCTAGCCGCGCGCGGCGGCACATCGCGGCGGAAGTATCCCGCATCAGCGGAAGCAAAGGCGTAAAAAGTTAGAGTTGGAACCGAAGAATGGTTGCACCACGATTGCGAAGACTATTGCTAGTACTTCGGAGAAAAGGAAGACCACCACTTCCACCACCACCACCATGGTCATCACTACTACCACCCCTCTTCCCCCCAATGAGTAAATGGCCATTTCCCTTGCATGTGGCATATTATCTTCGCCGCCTTACTCATCACCATCCTTTCCCTCCTCCCCACCGTCCTCCTGCGCTTCAGCCGTCCTACGTTTCGTCATCATCCTTGTCGACTTGTTTGGCGGGTTACCCATTGTTTCCTTGTGTCCAGGGGGTCAAAAATTGGGCTACACACAAAAAAACAAGACAACCAGATAAACATATATATATATATGTGCTCAGCCCCCCAGCACCCCGTCCCTTCAGCGATCGGTCACACCGATGATCATCATCCTCCTCCTCCTCCTCCTCCTCCTCCTCCTCCTGCTCCTCCTACCCATCCTTCTCCCTCTCCTTTGCCTCGTCCTTCACCTCATCATCATCCTCATCTTCCTCCTCCTCCTCTTTCTCCTACCCCTCATCCTCCTCCCTTCTCCTTTTATTCGCCCGCCTCCTCATCATCATCCTCCTCTCCTTGCTCCGCCTCAGCCTCCTCGCCGATTGGCTGGGAGTGTATCCGCCTTACTATGATTGCAGGCCAACGGATTGCAATCCAACTGATTTCCCTAAATTATCCCAGCAAAGCAACCTAACAGCGATGTGTAGGAGCATATCTGGAAGCATTCCCCTTAAGATTCACATGAGAATCCAGTTGTAGAATTCTGCTGTTCTCGCAGTCGCAGTCGCATTCGCGATGAAAGTCGCAGTGGCAACGGCAGTGGCAGTCACAACCTCAGCCTCAGCCTGCCTCAGCCTCAGCCTCAGCCTGCCTCAGCCTCAGCCTCAGCCTGCTTCAGCCTCAGCCTCAGTCTGCCTTCAGCCTCAGCCTCAGCCTGCCTCAGCCTGCCTCAGCCTGCCTCAGCCTCAGCCTCAGCCTCAGCCTCAGCCTCAGCCTCAGCCTCAGCCTCAGCCTCAGCCTGCCTCAGCCTCAGCCTCAGCCTCAGCCTCAGCCTCAGCCTCAGCCTGCCTCAGCATCAGCCTGCCTCAGCCTCAGCCTCAGCCTGCCTCAGCCTCAGCCTCAGCCTGCTTCAGCCTCAGCCTCAGTCTGCCTTCAGCCTCGGCCTCAGCCTCAGCCTGCCTCAGCATCAGCCTCAGCCTCAGCCTCAGCCTCAGCCTCAGCCTCAGCCTCAGCCTCAGCCTCAGCCTCAGCCTGCTTCAGCCTCAGCCTCAGCCTGCCTTCAGCCTCGGCCTCAGCCTCAGCCTGCCTCAGCCTCAGCCTGCATCAGCCTCAGCCTCAGCCTCAGCCTGCCTCCATCAGCCTCAGCCTCAGCCTCAGCCTCAGCCTCAGCCTCAGCCTCAGCCTCAGCCTCAGCCTGCCTCAGCCTCAGCCTCAGCCTGCTTCAGCCTCGGCCTCAGTCTGCCTTCAGCCTCGGCCTCAGCCTCAGCCTGCCTCAGCCTCAGCCTGCCAGCCAGCCTCAGCCTGCCTCAGCCTCAGCCTCAGCCTCAGCCTCAGCCTCAGCCTCAGCCTGCTTCAGCCTGAGCCTCAGTCTGCCTTCAGCCTCGGCCTCAGCCTCAGCCTGCCTCAGCCTCAGCCTGCCTCAGCCTCAGCCTCAGCCTGCCTCAGCATTCAAAATGTGGCCCGGGAATGGAGTTCTGGGAACTCGAAGACCACGAAGTGGCCTACAGTTGGCTCCGGGCACCCAACATGTGGCCCGGGAATGGAGTTCTGGGAACTCGAAGACCACGAAGTGGCTTACAGTTGGCTCCGGGCACCCAAAATGTGGCCCGGGAATGGAGTTCTGGGAACGCGAAGACCACGAAGTGGCCTACAGTTGGCTCCGGGCATCCAAAATGTGGCCCGGGAATGGAGTTCTGGGAAC